GACGAGTGCTAGCGACGGGACAGGAAGTCCTGCCGCTGAAAACAAGACGTGGACGCTACCGCCCTTAGACACGCCTAGCAGTCCGTCAGCAGGAATATACGAATACCCGGAATTATCCGTGAAACTGGTCATGGGATCTGCCCTTGTACGTATGTATGTCGTGGTGGCCAACGCCGACGGGGACGATTGGACCACAGTTGGAGAAATTTTTCAAAGCCCTCTCGGATATCAACCTAGGGGTACTTTGGGCACCAAATGGGATGGAAGACTGGCTAACGGGACCTTGGTCGGGCCAGGTAGATACAAGGTTATTGTGAAAGCTCTGCACATCTTCGGCAATGCTGAGATGGATGCAGATTATGACGTGGCCGAGACGGTGGCCTTTAGCGTAGCGTATGCTCCCTAACAACCGTGCTGGCAGCAGCGTTACCGCAAGTGCAATCAAGTCAAGTTTGACACCCGTACCTATCAACTTGTTGATAATTCTTCTGAGGCTTGATTATCGCCTTACTGGAAAGTATAGTGACAGACCGAAAATCGTACCATTGTGCTATATACAAAAGAGAGATTCCCCTCAGGCATTTAGGCAATGTTGGTACATGTGTCAACTATGTTTCTGTGATATGGCAAGTCAATCTATATGATGAACGACGTTATCACGGCTACTTTGCTTCATCGTAGGAGTTATGTATGAAGCACTCAAGGATAACTGATATAAATTGCAGCCGTCGTTTGTGGCCTGTGTCAACACGTCGTACTATTCATGGTGTCAGTAGAACGCCTCTTTAGGAGCTTCGTGAGCTTGGGAGTCAACCTGAGCAAGCTCAGCCAAGGCCTGGATTGTGAGGATTGCGCAAGGAGCGCACTAGTGATTCATAATGAGATGTGAGGATTTCAGAAGTGTGCAGGAAATACGTCGTTGACGCAATAATCTTACCTCGCACCACGTGGTGATTGAGGCAGCTCACGAATCAGATGTGTCCTTACGAAAGCTGCAACTGATTGGCCCATATCATATTAAAATGTCGCGATGTTTCTGCTGGGCACCGTTTCGCATTGTGCGTCATACTCCGTGTAGAGTTCCGGTGAGTCGTTCATATTATCAGTAATAGGGGATGCAATCTCGGATTGAGAAATACTATTTAGGTAACGTATGTGATATCTGCGCACTTTGATAAATGATCCACCTATTTGCTCCCAGCTGCCTTTGCGTATTGCTCACCAAACGCACCATACCATCTGTCAATGACCTCTCCAGCCATCCCCGGCCCGATGGTCTCGATACCGTCTTCCAATTTACTAGCAACTTCCTCCATAAACTCATCCACGCTGAGGGCATCCGGATTATTCTCCTTCTTGTTGTCGTCTGGATCCGATCGCTCTCGGTGCAGGTCAGTTGCTACTGTCGGTGGCGCAATTTCTACAACTCTGACTTTGGAACCGCCGTGCTTGAGCTGTGTGCGAAGATTCATGCTCCAAAAGTGCAGCCAAGCTTTGGTGCCGTTGTAGACGGGGTTGATGATGGAGAATGGTATGAAGCCCAGTACACTCGACACGTTTATGATAAGGGCGGATTCCTTGGTCTGAAGGTGTGGTAACAGGCCTAGAGCCAGATGCATTGGGCCTCGGATATTGATGTCAATTTCTTGGTCCGCCTTGGAGAGGAAATCGTCGTCTTTGAGAATCTCCAGAGGGCGTTGCACCCCGGCGTTGTTGACGAGGCAGTCTAGGTCAGGGTGTTCCTTGGTGACACGTTTGACAAAGTCGGGGATCTGTTCGACCTTGCCCGTGTCCAGCACGTAATAGTCGACAGCCCCGATGTCTCTTGCTGTTTCTTGTAGTTTCGACTCTGTGCGTCCCGCAATGATGACTTTTTTGCCCTTCGAAATGAAATGTTGGGCCATCACCTTGCCGATGCCGCCACCACCACCGGTTATGATCGCACATTTGAATCCTAGGTTGTCTTCTGAGGGAGCCATATTTTCGTATCGTTGAATTGTAATGATAATTTGACGTTTATGCAGTAGTCCAAATGTTCTCACGGTATTTATGAGGGTCGTCGGCTACATGCAATATAGCCGAGATGAAACTAAATGAAGCATCTATGGATCTGAGAGCCAGAAAAGCCTGATAACAAGACCATTGAAAGTAGTGGGGTGTTAAATTTAAGGTGCCAGTGATGATGCCGAGCTTGTGTCACCTTTTGGAACCTAGCTATTAGGCGATGTTAGGCGATGACGCCGGCTTTGGCCCACCGACGTCATCATCTCTTAGGGAATGTACTCTTGGCCATGATGGTGGCGCTTTACCGTAAATCACTCAGTCTACCAAGGAAACCAATTTCTGAGTAAGGTGACTGGCTTAGCGTAGGCGTGGAATATTCTATCTGGCAGACTTTATCCTATGACCTTGGCGGATCTAGAATGAGTTGGCTTTGGATGTGGTCACAATCTCACCCATGAACATCTACTTGTAGGGTAGAAAGCGTTTATTCTTGGCAAGAACGAATGGTCGGTTAACAGGCAATCTCTCAAAAGGCTTCAATATTGAGTAGGTGCCCTCTCCTATAAATATGGGCAGTGCAGATATCTAATTGGCATTCCGTATTTGCATAATTCCGTTGTCAAAAAGCTAAAACTTTCTCAGCTTACATTAAATTCATGTTGAGAGACTTTCTTCAAGAAACATCCATAGTAGCCGACGTCTGTTGGGCTTGCCATTCTAGATCAACGTGATATTGCATCGCTTCTTCTTTGGCGATAGAAGGACGTAATCCTTCATTTCCATGCTGTCGGCTGGCATGTTTGGGTCTAGTTTTGCCCCGCGACAACTTTTAAAGAATACGGCAGTGGCAAGCCGGAGCTCCATCATTGCCAGATATTGACCAATGCAAACTCTAGCTCCAGTTCCCAATGGGAGGTATGACTGCCTTTGTTGGAGGGAGACTTTGGTCGTGTGTAGGTACCTATCAACATCAAATCTAGAAAGTCTCGAGTTAGCCCGTGCCTTTTCGGATGAATGGTCTAAGTCAACGTACTGATGAGGGTCCGGAAATACTTTCGGGTCGCGCTGCAAACTGTAGGCCGGGCTGCAAACAACAGTACCTGCGGGCACAAAGTGCGATGACAGCTTAGTACCCCCTTCCGGGACAAGCCGAGGTAGAGATGAGAGGACGGCGGGATATAAGCGCAAGGTCTCTTCTATGACAGCACTCAAGATGGGGCACGTCTCAAGCCATTTATCGTCAAAGTCATCGCCAAGTAGGGCAATCTCATCCTCGAGCTGTTGTTGCAAGACTGGCTGTTTCAACACTGACCAGATGAGGTACGTTAAAACGGCAGCGGTTGTGTCTGTTCCTGCAACCATCATACCTGCACCCTCCATGCTGACGGCCTCCTTTGTTAACCAAGACCGGCCTTCGTTGTCACATTCTGCAATCATCTCCGTGAAGATACTTTGAGTTGATGATGGTCCTCGCTGTTTCACACTCGCTACTCCATCTGCGCCACCAAGCCTGACTTGCTCAAGCTGCCGGGAGAATGTCTGAAGTAGTGCCCGAGGTATGAGTTGAGATACAGAGGCGAGGAACGGGATCTCGCACTGGATAACGTCCGCTATCAGAGCATTTTCAATAGCTCGCATGTACATCGTACTCTACGACATCACAGTGCACATGTGGTTAGTCCGTCAGTATCAAGGCCATATAACAAGTAATTGTTCTTTCATACCTTTCCAGATTCCAACACCCCCAATGACTGCCCAAACGAGAGCTGGCTGATGATATCAGCGGCCATATAGGTCCACCACTTGTGAGAGTTTGATGAGCCCGCCAAAGCCTCTGTTTTGATTTTCATGACTGCAATCTCAACTTTGCTCCTGATAGTCGATTCCCAATTTTTCCGCAGGGATGCAAGAGTGAAGGAGCCTTGCAAAAGTCTTCGCCGCTGCTTCGCCTCTTCGCTGTTCAAAATCATGGACAGAGATAATGCTGGTAGCTTCTTTGCGTAGTCGCCAATCCATTGCGCCTTTTCGAAACCGCCGCCAACTTTGTAGACTTGGGAAACTGATTGGATATCGATGCATGATACTTCATTTGGTGCGATTCTGACAATGCTTCCGTACCTTTCGTGGAGCTGGTGTACGTATGTCATGCGGGTTCCAGTCAACCGGCTAAGCTTCAACCTCAATCTTGAGCATCGCGTGTGCCAAGGCCCTGGAATATGTTTGAGAGGGGAGTTGTTGTACTGTGATAAGAGCTGCCTCAATCAGCTGGGAATGAATTGGCGTTTGTCAGACAGAGTGGAATTTACGTTGCAGACTAGGAGAACCCCTGCAGCTCCAACTAATGCCATGGCCATGGCCGTTCGATCGAAGTCATCTTCGGGGTGCAAAAGTATGACCCTCATGGCGAGTCTGCACCGGATCAACACCTGAAAGGTTGGTTTCTAACAATTTACATATTCATGAGGGGGTAAAGACCACGACTATAAGGGGAATTCGTAGCCTTTTCTCAATAGAACGCCGGAGGAACCGGATTAAACGCCAGCGACAGTTCCAACACAGACACTTCCAGATTCTTCAGCATCGCTGTGCCGCTTGTCACCTTGCACAATGGCTGTCTCGCTGACGAATGAGAACATAACGTTTCCGCCTTCCAACAACCAACGTCACGTTGGGGCAATTTGACTGGCCTCGGCAGTGATTAGAACCATGTAAAAGCATGCAGGCCAAGATGCTTTCGTGCAAAGGTGCCCTTTTGGACCTGTGATATTGGTTGGTTTGCTGGACTGCTATCCTCACCTGCAAACATGCAGCAAACAGGGTGGGCCTGCTTGGCTTAGCTTGCGGCACAGAATAAGTCTGTCCCAGGCTTCAAGCCCCGTGTCTGCAGTCCGTTTCCCGGGCATGACTTCCATGAACGGGCAAGCTAAAGTTAGAACAAACTGTGCAAGGATGTGGGAAGGAAGACAGCGAAGAACTGGGTGGACTGGTTGCGCCATGAGAGTTCCAGAGCACTTTCAAGTCACCCATGGCAGCTGGACTTGGCAATGTTGGACTGGGCTGGGCGCCAACAAGGACAGTCTTCTCGAAATCCCCAACTGCTTTCTAGCTCCGGACAATTCCTAAACTTGATTATTGCGTATCATTCTTGAATCAGCTTCATCCTCTATTCTCATTCAGAAACCACCTGCCACCCTTTGGCTAGAAGCAGACGATGCTTAACTGCTTTTGGTTGAATCTGAGTGGAGAAAAGTCTTCTCACCCCACAGAGGCTGGACCTTTCCCACAACACGCAGACCCGCAGATCACTTGGGCCCTCATTCGCACGATCCTTGCAACAAACACATGGTCTGGTGGTGTAGTTGGTTATCACGTCAGTCTAACATCGTGAACGCATCTTGCGCTTCACGTGGCACACTGAAGGTCTCCGGTTCAAGTCCGGGCTAGATCAGAGGATGGGCGATTGGTTTAGTGGTATAATGACCGCTTAGCATGCGGTAGGTCCTGGGTTCGATTCCCAGATCGTCCATGATTTTGCCCTCAGAGGCTGTGTTTTCTCTTTTGCATGTTGGCCCGTCTCAGATTTGACCCTTCTGAGCAGTTTTAAGTCAATCTTCGAGTTGCAGAGAGTAATACGCCCGTCTGTGTGGTGTAATCGAAACAAGGGTGGCCATGAGTGAAGGCAAGTGCTTACTACAGTTTACGGGTTGGGGGGATCTTTAACGGCCCCAGACTGCAAGTCATCTTTCTGCGCTGGTAGTTCTGGTGGTCGAATTCGACATGTGTACAACAATCTTTAGAAGTACCAAAGACGAAGGCTCATGGTAAATGGCATGATAAAACATTATATTGGTCATCTAGTTCTGTTACGCCTTTGTGGCTGCGTCTATCTTTTACTCCTAGATTTACTGAATCTGAGTAGGAGTAACAATAACCCAGTTCTTGTCCGCGGTGACGGGAAGGTTGTTCGCCTTCTGGGCAGCAGTGTTGTTCACAATCATCTCGTTCATGGTCGCCATGGCGCTGTCCTTGCGGTTTATCCAGAGGTGAATGCCGCCCTTAGCAACATTGACGCCGTGGAAGATCATGGGGCCGTCGCTGGCGGGGGTGTCGCCACCAGCTAGGATAGGTCCCTGCCACTCGTTGATGTAAGTGAGGATAGCTGCCCACTTGCCCTGCATCCAGGTAGCAGGAGTATAGAGGTAGGGAGTGATCACGAGGTCCAGGTTGGCCTCCTCGTTGTAGGTGCCGTCCTCGATCTGCTTACGGCTGGTGGTGAGGTCGCCGGAGGTCAGGTTCTTCATGAGCATGGTGACGCCGATGACATTCTCAGGCTTGACGTTGTAGCCGTACTTGGGGTCGGCAGCGACCATACGGACCAGCTCTTCAGCAGCGGCGGTGATAACGTAGACGTCGATACCGTTGGCCATCAACTTGTTGTAGAGTTCAACCTGGCCGGTAAAGATCTTGGGAGGGCTGACCTCGGTGGGGGTGATAACGTCGCCCTCGTAGTAAGTGGTAGGTATGGTACGGTTCAGAGCCATGAGGTCGTCCACGTGCTCCTTGAGCTCCCTCAAGGGGATACCGCTCCAGATCTGAGCAGCCCACGGGTAGCAAATAATGTCATCGATGTCGCACAGGCGGAGGTAATAGCTGTACAACGTCTCGGTGTGGTTTGCCGTATCCTTGAACGGAATGAGCTTCAGGGTCGGGTCCATGGTGTCACGGGTGAGGACACCAATGCTCTCGAGGTACGGCAGCAGCGACTCCTCGAGATCGAAGCGGTAGCTAGTGTTGTCCATGTCAAAGACGGCGTATTGGCTTTGGTTGGCGTTGGCCGCGATCATGGTGTTGAGGGCCTTGGCCGCCTCGGCCGGCCAGTGCTTCAACTCGGGGCCGGCAGTGTGGTTGGAGGCGTAAACCGACGGAGCGGCGTTCGCGACGCCACGGGCGATGGCCAGCCCGAGCGAGGCAACGATGGGGTTCATAGAGGTCTTCATGTTGACGATACTGGTGATGGAGCTAGTAACTGAATAGAGCTGCAGCTAGCCAGAAAAGACCAAAGTGAGGGTATGATTGCCGGCAGTGAAGAACGGGCCGAGAGCTGGGGGAACGGAGGAAGCCATTCATTTCCCACGGCGGCCGGGCCGCTGCCGCGTTATAAACAAGTTGGCGGCGATTGGGGAGAGGCCTCGCCCTGTCAACTTCTCGCTTTACCTCATTTTAGCTAATCATGGTTCTTCCTACTCGCTTACCGGTGCTGAGAACCTCAGACTGGCAGATGCTGCTTTGCCAAGGTGAGAGAGGTTTGCGCGGGTGTTGGCGGCGGCGTCCGCGACGTCGTGCAACATCCACTTTGTGGGGTCGACTAATCTCTTCTAGCTGGTTGGGGTAACATTCGTGACGATGAGCGGGATTATTGAAATGAGCTAACTGATAAACTTTTCGTCAGCCTGTGGGGGTTTTCCGGACAAGCCTGATAACAGCGCGGTGCGTGCGAAGACATCACGACGTTTGGTTTCTTTTCCGAGCGTCGCGTCAAGCTGAAAGAGCTGCTCAGCCCTACAGCATGGCGTGGAGGACGTGGAGATCTCCAGACTCCCACTGCGCCGCCAAGCCGAACTGTGCTGCTCACGTCACAGGGGTTCAGCACGAATGGACCATATCAGATGAACCACGTTGTCGGGTAACATTGCCGTTGCCGGCTGTTCGGACTTGTTTGGGTGGATAGTCAGAATATCCAGGACCATGATATGTCACATGTGCTGTTATCTAGCCGCGCAAGTGGCCTGAACTGATTCAATGCGTTGTTTCCGGCCTTGGTGACAGGCACCCGGAGCTGCCGTCGCGCCTCGGTGTTGCTATCTCTCTAGCTCTTGAAGTTCTGCACCTACTTGAGTCAAACCGTTGCTGCGTGCCTGGATTCTCAATTCACCGCGGAGGCTAACCGTACATGCACTCCAGAGAAACTTGTACCGACAGCTTGGTTCTCGCGTTCTTGGCCATGCCAATTAATCATGTCAATAAAAGTGCTGGTGTATGCGGCTTGGAGGCAAGGGGTGTTCGCGGAGACAACACCGACAGTCCGACACTGAGCGAAACCTGCTTGTGAGCAGCCTTTGCAACCGAAACAGGTTGCGAGTGAGACAGTCGCTCAATTGGAACTACAGATATCTCGACGTTCAAGCTCTCACGCTCCAGATGATAACGAGGACTTCGATTCCTCGGAGTCGTGCAGATAGATGGTTGTGCATGTGGTCTCGTGCAGCATAGTGAGGAAGTTCCACGCCGACCAGAAGCCGGCTGTGTCTGGTCGCACAGTTTCACCAAAGATCAGGATGATTGATCTGCGTCGCCAAACTTGCAACAGCAAGGACGACGGCGGGTTATATAACTTCAAGAACGTGATGACAATGTTCTGGCAAAAAGATTAGACTTCAGAGAGCCAAGTCGGAAGAATCAGAACTATCAAGATCTCGACTTCGGGCATCGGGCGATCGTCCGGACGAAAAATCCTCCGCGTAGAGACTGCACCACCACCCGATTACCGCTCCAACCAGACTTTGGTTCCCCGACGCTTCGACCGAACGCCTCAATCTTGGATCTTGCCGCGAGTCCGCTGCGAGGAATACAACGTCTTGTCCCGAGCGACAGGCCGAAGATACCGTGCTTCCTTCATTCGGCGCCAACACAGAGTTTCCGCTTACTTTCAAGCCTTTCCAACTCGCACTCACGCCCTTATAAGACTCTAGCCCCGAGTATTCCAGGGTCACCTAGATCGTAAGTGAATGTCTCAATGCCTCAACTGCTACAGTAGAATATCTTGAATCATCTCTGTCAACATGGCGCATCTCAGTGGACACACCTCCATCCCGGTGGATGACGTCTCATCCCCGAAGGACGTGACCTATGCTGAGTCTGATAGCACCACTGAGCTCAATGCTGATAGCGACACTAGCATCTCAGAATCAGGAGGCCGGTCTGTCACTACCTTGAGACGGAAGATGGCGCAATCAAAGCCTATTAGAGAACAAGTCGAGGGCTTGTTCGAGGAGAACGTCACGGCCAAAATCTTTAGAACAGCTGCAGATGCACTTGTGAACAACGTAAGTGGCATTGCTCTTACCCTGAGATGTCACATCAGTTTCTCACGACACACAGGATCCTCCTTTGGCATACCCAGAGTACGTCCTCCAGACGGGCCCGGAAGCCGGCAAGTACATCTTGCGAGAGGCCGACTTCTGGACTTGTGGTTTTTTCCCAGGCAACATCTACTCCCTCATTGAGAGACTAGTCAAGTTCCCTCATACCATGCCCGGTGGACAAGACAAGGCGGCTTTGCTGTCAAAGCTATGGTCGCTCGGTGCCTCATGGTCGGAACCCCTCCACACCACAGCCAAGCGCACGGATACCCACGACATGTCATTCATGATCCAGCCATCAATGAGAGTGAGGTGGGAGATTGCCCAAGATAAGCAGGCCTTGGACTCCATCGTGACCGCGGCGAGGGCTCTCTACACACGGTACAACTCCACTGTCGGAGCGATCCGGTCGTGGGACGCGCTGACCCAGCACGGAGTCACCATTACGAGTTTGACGGACGATTTCCTCGTTATCATTGACTCGATGTGTAATCTGGACCTGCTTTATTACGCTGCATCTCACACTGGCGAGCAAGAATTATGGGATGCCGCAACGCGACACGCCAAGACGTTGATCAAGTCGAACCTCCGCGTTGAAAAGGACTCTAGAGGTATCATCAAAGAGAAGATGTACAGCAACGTTCACGTCGTCAACTTTAATCCTAAGGACGGTGAGATCAAGGAGCGAAGAACGGGCCAGGGATACGCCGCCGAGTCAACGTGGGCGAGAGGTCAAGCTTGGGGTATTCTTGGCTACGCTCAGACGTTCCTGTGGACCGGCGATGAGGAGTTCTTGGAGGTATCCCGTGGCCTCGCAGAATACTTCTTCATGCGACTGGAGACGTCACCAAAGTCTGTCGAGTTCCCTGTGGAGGGCGAGAACAGAACCAAGGGCCGATATGTTCCGCTTTGGGACTTTGACGCGCCGATCGAAAATGAGGAGTTTCCTCTGAGAGACTCATCTGCCGGCATCATTGCCGCCAACGGCATGCTGGTACTGTCCCAGGCTCTGGCTGGACAGGGCCTGGCCAAGGAGAGCGCGAGGTACCGGGATATGGCCATTACGATCGTAAAGGATACCCTCGACTTCTCGCTGTCAACGGAGAAGGCCAAGTTCGTCTTCAATAATGGCGAGATCTCAACCGCAGACGCCGAGGAGGGCAAGACCTTTGACGCCATCTTGAAGAACGCCACGGCAAACCACAATACGCGGGATCACAAGCGATACTGGGACCATGGCTTGGTTTACGGCGATTACTACTTGATTGAGTTCGGCAACAGACTGCTGAAGATGGGATTGGTGTAACTC